GTTATTTTTGTTAAGGAGTTTGCACGTACAGCATGCACGCCTCGTGCACGAGCCTACTATTGAAGCTGCCGTTACGCTTTTGGCCTGAGGGGGCAATCGCGAGCATAACAATTCAAAACTCCGTAAAGTCCCTTTAAAGACCAAGTTCACAGAGTTTTTTTTACTTGTTATTTTTAAAATGTGATCAGTCACTCTGAGTTTAACATTCAGGCTGAACATAAAAATTGTCTTCTACCCCTATTTCCTGTATTAGCTGCCATTAGAAAATAGACAGATAAATGATTGGGTTAGAAAAGCCAGCCAGATCTACGTCACACTGAAAATGATCATTCATGGACTTATTCATCCTGGCTCTGGACGGGGAAGACTGTTCTTTTAGCATCCAGGAAAGAGCAGAGCACATCTCATCTAGTAGCTAACCGTTAGCATTAGCAACCCCACCACACAGCAGAACTTTGTCAGGATTATGTTATTTGTGGAAATAAAACATTGTTTTAAAGCAAACTAGAGTCACTGGTAGAGTTGTGGTGCATTTATACTAGAGACCACTGCAAATGTGTAAAAAAAATTAACTTGGATTTTATACTTTTACAAATAAAATATATCTTAATCTTGTTGGTAAAAAACATGTTTTCAACAGCCTCTTGATTTATATGTAGTTTTTTTTTTGCAAACTGCAAGAAGCAATTACTTTTATTCCCCCGAAATTCTGTTTTGATGCATTTGTTGATGCATTTTTACCAATGCTCTGAGCAGAAAGTACCCGAGTGAAACTCTTACTTGAGCTGTGGTGCTCAAGATGAAAGGAAATCAAGTATAATATCAATTCAATAACATTTTAGGTTTTAAACACACATTTAGTTTTTTATGTTTAAATAAACAGTCATATACAATTATTTACACTCACACATTTTTGTAATTGCTTTTATCTTATGAATGTAGTCCAGACCAGCATTTCTACCTTGTTTGTAAGCTGTAAACATTTTCTGTTTCAATGCAAACATCTTTTCTCTCTTCCAGCCTTGATACTGCAATGACATCACTCAGGCTGTTGCCCTTATTCCACTCCCTCTTCATCCTACAAACACATTTTTCCAGCCAGCTGGAGGACAATAAGATCCCTCCCAGTTTGTGTACAGGTCACCCTGGAATCCCAGGCTCTCCAGGGGTTCACGGGAGTCCCGGTCAGCCGGGAAGGGACGGAAGGGATGGACGAGATGCAGTTCCTGGAGAAAAAGGGCAGAAAGGAGACAGGGGAGAGTCAGGTACTTGTTTTCACCTTTTATATGTCAAAATGCCAATGCCAAAATAACTTTGAGTCTGATGTTTGTGCTGCTTGTTATTTCCAGGTGAAACTGGACTGCGAGGCCTGACTGGAGACAAAGGTGACCCTGGAGAGAAGGGAGAGAGGGGGCCACCAGGTGAGTGTGCAGTGGCTCCTAAATCAGCCTTCAATGCCAAACTGTCCCAGAGCCTCGCTCTGGCCCTCACAGTGGGCGATGCAGTCTGCTTCGACACCATCGTGATCAATGAGCAGGGTGACTACAATGCGGAAACTGGACGCTTCACCTGCAAAGTCCCTGGAGTCTACTACTTTGCCGTCCATGCCACAGTGTACCGGGCCAGCCTGCAGTTTGACCTGATGAAGAATGGACATGTGGTGGCCTCCTATTTTCAGTTTTACGGCAACTGGCCCAAACCGGCGTCGCTATCTGGCGGCTCCCTTCTTCACCTGGTTCCTGGTGACCAGGTGTGGGTTCAGGTGGCTCTGGCGGAGTACAACGGGTTTTACTCAAGCACCAAAACAGACAGCAGCTTCACCGGCTTCCTGGTCTACTCAGACTGGAAAAACTCTGCTGTGTTTGCATGAACAATTTAAAATCCACCCGACTCTGGAAAGTAAACCACAATTATATTCCTACTTTTGCTTCCAACTGAGACATTCTGGAAACAGGCAGATGCATTAGTTGGGACTTGGTACATCTGTACTGGTGTCTGATGAGTTAAATAGGCTGAATGGGTCATTCTGTATCCATTTGGTTTAGTTGTGTTTAAACAGCAGCCCTCTGTAAGATCCAGGCCACAGATTCAAATACTTTACATGCCATCATTGCACTGTGTTTCCCATTAGTGACACTTTAATAAATCTTCCGGCTTTATAGGAAAATCCATATTGATGACATGATTTGGATTCCTGACATTGCTTTATGTGAAATGAGGTGAAAACACAGCAGAAACAGGATCATTTATTTGAAAAGATGTTGCTCAATTAAAATAGAAATTGTGTAAAAATGTTTATTTTACAAACACTGAAGAGTGAACCGAAAAACACACCAGTACCTGTTTTTACTTCCATTTTACTCTTAAATTGGTTAATTTACAATATTTTATATGTTGTTTCACACACACACACACACACACACACACACACACACACACACACACACATACCATATATATATATATATATATATATATATATATATATATATGTATATATATATATATATATATATATATATATATATATATATATATATATATAGTGTATATATATATATATATATACTATATATGAATATATATATATATATATATATATATATATATATATATATATATTCATATATGTATATAGTATGAGGCAGAGTTTCTTACTCAAGATTTCACGATGGAATTTCTTATTTTACTCATTAGCACCACTAGTGTTTGGATTTGGAATTGCACCAAGATTGACGCCGACTGCAGATTTGCGCATCTATTGCTATTAACACAGTGCCACCCACTGTTTCATAGCAATAACATTTTGATTTAAATTTCTAATTTCTAATAAAAATGTAGGCTATGTCTAACTTTCGACGTGAAGTAATTGGCATATTTTGAATCTACAGTTGCAGTCAATCAGATTTCAGTAACTCCTGTGGCCCCGCCCACCACCAACTTTTTAAGAGACATAAGCAGATGGACAGCAGGGAGAGAGTTTAAAAGAAGAAAGATTATTCTGCACCCTTAATATTCATTTCAGGGTTAACTTTTAGAAATTTCTCTAAACCTTACTTGCTCAACAATGTTTTTAGGTGTCAACTTCTCGTCAATCTGATTTAATACACTAATTACAAGACATTCACTCTTTATACAAACTTAAATCACATTTTCTCTTTCTGTTATCTTTCCAACTTTACATCTTTTTAACAATGCATTTTCATTTCTGTTCAAGTAATAACTTTACACAGCAATTAAATTCACTTATTTGTTTCACTACTTTATTTCTCTAATAAATTGATTGACGCTTTCTCAGTTGTATACATTACAAACATGTATTTTTGGATTGCAATCGACTAAGTTTGAATTGAAGAGATTCGGAGCTAACTTTTAACTTTCTATTTAGTTTGTTCAGCGTTAATGCTCAGAAATCATTAACACCTAAGAAAAAGGCAACTTTTCCATATTTTAAAATCATTTTCTTGAGCCAATATGTGCTAAAATAACCCTTTACAGGGTTGATGAAATGTCACTCAGACCCCTCCTACCCCACCCCACCCCCACCCCCCTCTGTGGCCAGAATATTGCACTTGCTACGTCAGAGTGCTGCTTTGGTTCCTGTTGGGCTTAGTGAAGTGGAGCTGACATGCTTTGCACTGCAGTCTGCTTCCAGCAGGTTTCCAGCAGGTTTTAGATTGCGGACACAGCTGGTTTGTTTAATCACTCCTGGAGACACACTAATGATGGCCGAGGAGACATTTTAGCTGTTAGATTAAGGCGTTAAAAAGGCGAACACACAGCGAGGAGATACGTTTCATTTTCACTTTTACTAACAGACACTAGGGGGTGTTAAAGCAACCAAAAACTGCAAAGTTTCCCTTTAAGGTGATCAAAATATTTCAGCTTGTAATTCTGCTACGTTTTCCAGTAATTTTCTGCATTATTGTTTGACAACAAATTTTTTCCTAAATCATATGTACAGATTTTATAATATTTGGATAAGATATAAGCTTATGCATATGGTCATTTTCTATTTCATATATGACCAAATAATAATAATAATAATAATAATAATAATAATAATAATAATAATAATAATAATGATGACAACTAGGGTATATTTGTGGTCTCATGTGTTGCTTTACATTTGATGAAAACATACTTGTTGTTGGATATTTAAAGAAAAATGTACTGAGTTACATAATAGAAACAAACACAGATACAATTAATGTGAAATGTATCTGATGCAGAGAACTGCTGAAACAAATAAAGAAGCTGGAAACGTCTCACTTTCCTTTCTAATGCATGAGTTCACCATGTCTGAGTCATAAGCTGGATGATATAAATCACCCGTCTCCACTTTTCCTGTCAGTAATCAGACTACTTTCCAAGTTAACAGAAGATAATCTCCTTTTCTAAGTCACGACATATTTAAAGTTTTTCATTTAGAGCTGACTTTAACACAACATTGACTCCTTTTCAGACCAAATCACATTTTTCTCCCCGTCTCTGAGGCATCCACCCATAATAAGGCTTAAATATGTCCTTGTAACCATTCTCATCAGGGTGGAATGAGAGTCGTGAGGACGTGATTAATCTTTTCTTGGCATCAGCTGTTTATTTCCACTCATTCACAGCCTGTAAATGACTCTGTAAGTGTTTGAATCACAGACGGTTACAGACGGAGCAGGGAAGCATCTTCTTAACCACAGGATGGTGAAGTGACACTTTAATACCTGAAATAAATGTAGGTGATGGACTATTGAGACAAAACACACATGACTGCAGTTAGAAATCCATAAAAATACTGAGTTTTGGATCTTTAGAGATATTGGCTGGAAGATTCTTCCACTTTAAAAGCAAGCTGTTAATCTGCAGTTTCTCAGAAAAACTTTGAAGAATTTCATCAACAACTTTGACCTGATGATGAAAGCCGCTGATTTTATGCCACAAAAGATGAAATACCCTAGTCCCGATCATCACAGTTACATAAAAGCTGTTTCATTTTGACATTATTAATTGACTCAACTTGATGATTATTTATGTTAGTTGGATTTTTAAGGCACTAAGTTTCAAATTAATGCCTTTTTAATTCTAAAGTTTAATAGCTCCACATTCTTTACAAGAAAATGCTTTCTTTGTTCACTGCTGTAAAGATTTGTTCTTTTTTTATTTAAAAAAAAACAACCAACTATCACTTTTGTCACTTGATGCAAGTTATACGTGTTTTTAATTTCTCATTCAGCTGTAACCAATGCAGATCCTAAAGAAACTTTGATGGGGCCCTCCACTTGGAGCAAGAGACCCTGAGTATGTTATGGTCCAGTGTCTTATCATCTGTTTACAGACTGAATGAAGTCTCTACACAGATGCATACTGCAGCACAGAGACCTCTGAATAGCCTCTGCGTATTTCTTGGGCCGGCTCCAATAATAATATCAATACTAACTCTGCAGGGTTGGTTCCTTTGCTGTTGATGTGACTATTTTGTCCAGCAGGTGGCAGTAGTGTACCACTGCTCAGAAACTGGAAAGTCCAGAATGACTGAGTCACTCAAACTAGTGACATATCTGCCTCGTATTAATTAATTAATTACAAATTTCAGAAAGAAATTTAACTTATACCTCAAATGGGTTCAGATTTAATGCATTCCTATTTTAATAGAATCAACCAAAAAAAGGACCTGTATCCAAATCGATCTTAATTTTGAGACAATAGTTGCAAATAAATGTTATTGTTACTTTTGGCTGATAAGATTGTGAACTTGATTGGCTCACTGATGATTTTTCTCAAATAAAGTGGATTGGTGGGGAACCTCTGATAGCAGACGGATCAGTAACAGAACCTCTCTGCTGCTCTTTATAAATGTATGGAACACGTAGATTATGTAAAAACTTAATGGAGTTCTGAACTGTCTGTCCATCAGCAACAGTAAAATGAATACGTTGATCCAGCCACAGAGGAGGGCTGATGTCCTCTGCTGACAGCTTTAAGCTCTCATAGATGCTCCCATGTTTCTTTTGTGTGGTCAAATATTTAATATTTATCTCGTGAGGTAACCCTACAGGAGGGGATTTGAAGACATTTTGTGTGTTTGACAAGTTTAAAGCTATCACTGAATGATAAAAACCAAATGATGATGCAAGGGGCACCCTGAACAGGTTGCCAGTCCATAATAGGGACACACTCACTGTGAAGGTTGCCAATGTACCCAACATGCAAGTTTTTGGTCTCCACTAGGGGTCGGTGACGTAAAGAGTCAAAAAGTGATGGGTAGAAAGCTTCATGAGTCTGCTGAAGATTTCCCACACCGCAACAACCACTAAAGGTTAAAGGACAGAGGTCTAATCCCTAAAGGACGACACTCGCCTCAGCTGTTACCATTTCCTTTTCTTTTCTTGACACTCGACTTTCTGTCTTGTTAACATGATCTTAATTTGCAGTTTACATGTAAACACAGCTGAGGCTTGGGGCTAGATCAATGGAAACTCACTCAAAACTATTTCAGCCTAATCTCATGACAATATGTAGGTTTCTGATGGTAGCAGATGCTTTGAATGAAGAATGTCTTTAGTGGGAACCACAAGGAAGACTTTGATAATCATCCATTTATGAAAGTGGATCCAATACACACACACACACACACACACACACACACACACACACACACACACACACACACACATACACACACACACACACACACACACACACACACACACACACACACACACACACACACACACACACACACACACACACACGCTGAGCTATGTTTGGGCTCTAGAGCTGCTTTCTCGTTTATATCAGATGTGTTCACCAGTAAAAGGACTCTGTAATCTTGGGTTTCATCCAAAGAGGGAGATTTTGTTTATTTCTGCTGAACTTGAAGCCTGTTCTGAGATCAGTGTGAGACGTGGCTCCCTCACAGCCTTTCTGTTGTTTATATGATTGGAAAACGTCACTGAAATAATCCCAGAACCCTTCACAGACCCTCAGGGGTCTGGACATAAAGACACTGGAACTATTCTTGGATTAGGTATAATAATTTACATTCCTGTTTACAGTGAAATGACTTTGGTAATTCCATGTGTACATTTATTTAACTTGTTTGGATGTAAAAAAAAAGTGTATGTGGTTTTGTTTAGAAACAATCAGCTGTGGCCCGAGATCAGTTTGAAAACATGATAATGTAATTTTGTGTTTTCTGACATTTAATCGTGATCAGAAGTTGATCACTATCATTTCTGACACAATAAGAAAGAGCACATACTTTGATTCTTGTTTTATTATGAACAACACACCTGCCAGTTACACGGCAGCCATCACATCTTTACAGACATTACATTCACATCATTTCACTCATACTTCAGGTAGCAAAAGGTAACAGTCCTGTGAGCTGTTTGCAGTCCTCCACTGTGGCTAGAAAGGAATGAAGTTCAAGAAATACCTGAGAGGAGTGGACTGTAGTGACCTAAGTCCCGAACAGTCGTCTACAACCTCGATGAAAACGAGCTTCTGCGTGATCAGCTATGGACACACACAGGTGTGCTCAGGAGCTACTGTCAAATCAAATTTCATCCAATTACACACACAAATAGCTTTTAAAAAAGGAAATATACACGTCAGATGACACTTCTCACAATTCTGCACCCACAATCAATAATACTGGAATAATGTTGTGTAAACTCTAAACGTGATCAATAACGACACCTCGGCTCAGCAACAAAAAAAGCACCAAAAGCGTGATCAATTCTTAGCTTTTTGGTCCTTTTCCACAACAGAAATGTGCTTACTTGAATGTCAAAAGAAAGGGAAAACCATGTATGGATTATTCGTTGGCGGTGATGACCAATACTGGTCATGTGGAAGACTGGAAAAGGCCTAAAAAACAAGCTGAAAAAGTAAAGGTCAAAGAGGTCAGCATTTACACGCTTGTGTAGCAAATGCAGTGTTGCTCTGTTCGGTTACAGCTTGGCTCACTGACCACAAAGTAGAATAAGACACAAGCATTTGTAAACATATGAGCATCTGGGATTACAGATTACAAGGTCTACGACACCGGAGACTCTGCGTGGCAAAATGAGAATATTTAAAGGGATCGTTCAGAAGGCAAATCAGAGCTGGCAGAACAATAAAATACAGAAAAAAGCACTAATGTGAAAGGGATTGTGTGAAAAACTGCAGTTTCACCAAAACAGTATGAAGCCTTTCTGTAAACCTGGAACCTTAAATCCAACACTGAACTATGCAAGGAATAAAACCTTTCCAGAGGAACGTTGTTGCATGTGAGCACAGCCCGAGTGTGGATTTTGTAGTGATGCACAAAAACACAACACAGATAAGATTCCATGTGTTCTGTTATAATATTCCTTCACTTTGCCTGGCATATTATTTATTTTGAATGGGTTTCATCCCATCCCTGTGTATGTAGTTGGTGTGTTGCCATTGAAAGTGACGGAAACACACTTTCAAATGAATCGGAGAACACATATTATGAATTTTTGTACACATGAATTTCTGAATGAAACCATTATTCCACAATTACTTACGAGTATTAAAGGATTACAGCTGAAGTGATTGAATTTGGTTCATTAATCTCCTTGCTTATTTGGTAAAATACCTTTCTACCTTCTTCTTTCTACATTAAAGATCGATGATGCTTTGTTCAACAAACAGCAACACACCATAATGTGCAATGTACAGAAGGACCCGCATACTTTAGTATTTTGAGGGAAACTGTATTTTTTGTTCTTTAATTATCATCTGCAGCTCTCAAAAGCTTGGACCATTCAAAATAATTTTTTATAAAAGAAATTTGGTGTGTTTTTTATGTCAAAAGATTCTAAAGGTTAAACAAAACATTTTTTGAGTTTTGTCTGTATTCAGAAACCTATAGATTTGAAAAAAATTTATAAAAACTTCTGAGCATCCCTGAAACGTAAAACAACAGAGTGGCTTGACATGAGATTGACCAGAAGGCAAAAAAATAAAATAAAATAATAATAATAAAAAGGTTGTGGAGCTCTTGTTGTCTTCAGATGAATGGATCAGTTTATTTTGGTCCCTCACAGATAAACGTCCATAGTGTCGAGGATCATGTGACGACAGAGAGGACAGTTCTGTTGGTAGATCGGCTGCCTGAGGAGGATGTTTGTACAGTCTCTGCACAAGCAGAGGTGTCTGCAGGGCAGCAGCACCACCGTCTTAGTGCAGTCCTGACAGATCACGCACTTCTTCCTCTCCTCGTGCTCCTTCAGTAGAGTGAGCAGGTTTTCAGCTGGCAAGCTTTTACTGTCGCTGCCTGAAGACTCCTTAAGTGGCTCGTCTGAGCTTGATGATGGAAGAATTGAATCCTGCAGCTCTGGATAAGCTCTGTCTCCCGCTCTCCCATCTGGTGGACCCCGCCTCTCTTCTCCAGGGTCTCCATCACCTCCTGCTCTGTCTCCGTTGTCCCTGCGGAGTTGTGTCCACAGAACCAGACCCAGTCGGCTTCGGTTTTGAGACAGCCGCTGCCAAAATCTTCTCTCCAATAGAAAGAAATGGTGGAGCATCATCTGCAGGTGTCGGATGTTGTAGCGTAGATAATGTGAGGTTCTCTGCAGGGCTAAAGCGAGCCGTCTGTGAGTTAGATACAGTCTGCGCAGAAAAGCAAAAGAGTTCAGGTAATCCGCAATGCGCACAACTGCCTGATGGGTCAGTCTTGGGTTTAGGTAGGCGGTGGTCATCAGGGCGATGGTGATAGTGAGCAGGAGGCCATAGATGTTCAGTATGAAGATGCAGATGAACATATGCAAAAGGGAAAACAGAAAATCCAAAACCAGCTTGCAGGGAGACCACAGGAAAGCTGATGTACCAGCCAGGCAGCTGTACAAGAAGGTGAGGGTGGTCAGGGTCATTTCCAGAACCTTTTGCAGCGGGCTGGACACCGTCTGCCACACGCCCACCACTGACAGGTAAAAGTTCTGCATGGCAATGAGTGCAAAGTTCACCACAGTGTTGGTAAAATAGACCACCAGGCTGACAGCGATGCTACAGCCCTCCAGCACTGACAGCAAACCCCGATACAGGTGCTCCTTTCCTCGTAGCAGCACGTGCATGGACAGATAACCCACCATCTTCAGGCTCTCCAGCAGCCCTTCCAGGGCCAGCACCAGGCTTCCCAGCAGGGTGACTGTGCTGTGGGCCAGGTTTGATGCGGCCTCTGCTATGTGAACAATGGACAGTAGGATGAAGTTCCCCACCTGCAGCACGGAGTGGAGGAGGAGGGTGGGCAGGTTGGTAATTAAAGCCACAACCGCCAGGAGGGTCTGCACCACGGTGTGGACGAGGAGAAAGTTCAGGTCCAACAGTAAACACAGAGCATCCAGGCATTTCCCCACAGAGGTTACCACAAAGTTCACCAAACCCATGGTCCTTTAGCTTCAGCTGTTTATCTCTCGATGCTCCTCCCAGGTTGTACACAAGTTCATTGTTGATTTTCCGCCTGATATCCTCATACGTTACATCTTAAGCAGAACGTAAGTTCAGCAGCAGCTGGAAAACATCATTCGTTTCACGAAATACACTACATGTTCATGTTTGTTCAGTGTTTCGTCGGAACACATGCGTTTCAAAGTGAAGCGGATGTTTTGTTTCGAACGAGAGCAGACACTTCCGTTAGTTTTCCGTGTTTCGTTTTCGCTCTTTGCTAATAAAAGCCAGAAACACCTGGTTAGATAAATATTGTCAGTCTTAAAACACACAGTTAGCAAAATCGACGGATGGAATTAAGAAAAAAATGAAAAAGGGGTAAAATAACAATGTTTACTATCTTCGCTGAAGACGCCATATTTGTTTTGGTCACGTCAGTGAGCGGATATCTCGTTACTTCCTTCCGATGACTTTTCAAAATAATCCAAAACCGCTCAAAACATGAATGTAAAAATTGAAAAAAATAAGTGTGATTATGTATTTATTTACAACACATACTAAACCATTACACACAATATAAAAAATGCATACACAGGTTTCATGGATTTACTTGAACTTTAAAAAAACTTGCTAATGTGTCATCAAACTCAAAACCAGTTAAAGCTGCAGGGTCTGGCCTAGTAATGACTGCAGGCAAAGTTCACCGCCACATCATCACCACCTCAAGGCCTCCTCCGACTAGTTGTGCTAGCATGCAAATCAGAGGGGCCATATTTGATCATATGCCCTGAACATAATCTTTGTAAGGATGGTAACAATATTAACAATAACGGCAATTATAACACTGAATATATTTAACTGTTTTCTAACATTTCTAACAAAAACGGAGGACAAATCTCGCCATCAGTGATTATAATGAAGAGGAGGAAGATGTTTATTTAACTAGATCATGTTGTTTATTCTGTTTTTTTTTATTAGAACAGGGCGGCCAAATATGATCACTTTTCAGTTTTGAAATTTCTGTGATTTTCTGCATGAAAATATGTTTTTAAAAAGATGTATCAACAGATTAAAACGTTGGTTGTATACCACAATAACACATGGGGATTGAAATTTTAGATTTTAAACTAATCAAATGAATGCCATATAAAGAGATTATGGGATAATGGGAACGAATCTAATCAAAATACATGGATGTTGCTTTTCTGGGACTGCTGTTGAAGGTCCATCTGCTCCAGTGATGTCTGTCATCTCAGCACCAACTATCATCTTTTATGTCTCTAATGCATCAACTGAAAAAAGTTATTCAATATAGCTCCAGTTTGTGTGATGCTACTGTACACACTCTCCTAGCTACAAGTTCAATTTTATATTGACCTTGTGTGAGCGAGAAGGGAGAATAGTCGCCCTCCAGTGCAAATAGCTAGAACTAAACTAGTTAAATTACCGTAAATCCTCTAATACAGGCCCGGGCCTTTATTTGACTCAAGCTCATCAAGCTCCAGGCCTTTATTGGAAGGAGGGCCAGTATTAGAGGCAGGCCTCTATTTCTATTTGAGCAAAATGAACTAATGGTTCGCTGGAGTTTTTGACAATTAAAAGTGCACCCACATTTTCAAAGTTAAACACATTTCTTTTAACAACGGTAGTTTCTGCTTCAGTCCTCTCCCCCCTCCCCTTGCGCAGCAGCCGCAAACTCACTGATGCGCCTGCAGCCTCTCGGAGTTCCTGCTGCTCTAAACATTAAAATAATTATTTCATTTTCTGTTCCTCACTTCTGATTACCTTCAATGGTGTCTGTATGTTGCAACAGCAGGTACAAAAACTAACTTGTTTTTATTTGACTATTTTTCTGTCCTGTCTGTTTATTATCTTCCTGCATCTCCTCTCAATCCTAAAGAGAAACTGCTACCTGGGTTCATATATATTCACCTCATGAGTTACCTTTGAACTGCAGTTCTAAAAGATCTACCGACCGCAAAAACAGCGGAGCGCTCGCTGTTTGGCGGCCGTATAAGTGATCAGTGCATCGGAGGACAAGGTGATGCGCGCAGCGCCCCGCTCCACAGCAGCGAAACACATCAGGCGCAAATAAAAGACAGAAAGCATTAAAGGAAATGAACTGACATGAACGATCGCGTGTTAAATTAGTTTTTGAGGTGGCGACACCTGATTGTTACTGTGGCCGTGCTCAGGAGGCAGATCTACCGACCGCGAAAACAGCGGAGCGCTCCCTGCTTGCCGGGCGCATCAGTGATCTGTGTGTCGGAGGAGGTGTTGATGCGCCCCGCTCCACAGCAGCGAAACACATCAGGCGCAAATAAAAGACAGAAAACATTAAAGGAAATGAACCGACATGAACGATCGCGTGTCAGTACACGGTCTCCGCCCACCTCTAAACGTTTGACCCCGCCCACATTTAGCCCCGCCCCGATCTCCGGGATGCAGTCAGGGGTAGTTGTGTTGTGTGAGTGTTATGTAAGCCACAGGGAAGGTGATGTGTGTTCTGTGGAGGGGTTGAATTAGCATGGTTAACTGACACCGTGACTCTGTGTGGTAGGAGCGTGATAGAGGATCGTGTCTGTAGCGTTACAAAGCATTGAAGAAAAAACCCACTAAAGGTCCGCGTCAACCTCTACTGTCTCCTGCTGGTTGATTTGGGGACTGTAACCCTGCCGCTGGGACGCTCATACTTGCTTGTCACCACATTCCTCCCGGCCACAATAAGAGACCGGCCATTATTTACCTCCGCTGACTCCGACACCGGCCAAAATTGGAGACCCGGCCTTTAATTGAATACCGGCCTGTATTAGAGGATTTACGGTAAACAGTTTAGAGAATATTTTATCCTCCTTGTCTCAGTAAAGCTGGAAAAAAAATCCTAATATTTTTGTCCTCTTGTGAATATTGCTATTAAAGAGAAGAATGCATAATAAGGGAAAAATAGAAACACTTCCTGTAAAATCTTTCAAAAATAAAAAAGCTACATTGCTTTGGCATTAGCAACAGTGTCTCACTCTGGCAGTCTCTTTTCATTTAGTTAAAAACATTCAAGTTACATTTATGTACCAATATGAAATACAATGATTGCGTGCCATATTTAATTGACCCTCAGGAGCACCGGAACGCTAAAGTTTCCCGTTATTATTTAGGTCAACTCAATGCTCTCATGTCTAGCAATCAGTTCTTCCTCTAGTGGACGAACATGTTACTACAGGCAGCATTCATAAAGCTAATCAAGACTACTCATTAGCACTTTCTGTAGATTCCTTCAAAATAAAACACACTACTTAAAAATACTACGGGTTTTAAATTTGTGTTAGCAGCATAGTCTAAATAACTGGAAAACAGAACTTCTTCACGTATACAAACTATTTACCAACTAAAATTCGATAAATCAATTTCAATAATATGTAGTCAACAAGATTAAATCAAGCAAAAAGCAGGAACTATTAGCAGCTATAGCCACAGCACTACAAACATATCAGATCATTCGCCCTCTGGTGGCAACAAGGCGAAACTAAATTCAAGGTAGACTAGAGGTGTTTTACTTTGAATAAATTAAATGAGTGGCGATATAAAAATAAATATATCTAGTTGCAACATTTTACCAGCATAAGTGTACAGTTTAAATCAAACATGTCAGATATAAAACTACAACTGCATCTAATACGTAAACACACTCAGACATTGATACAGACATTATTTGTTTAAAGGTCCATATTTTGTTTTCAACAGGAAAATCAATAATGTATTTGGATTTCATAATTAATGTATTCATAAACTAAAACAAAAAGTCAAAAACAACAAAAGTAACCAGTAACAGAATAGAAATACAATTCTTGTTTGTTGTTTGTTATTTGCCTAGATAAACATTTAATTTAATTACTTGTAATATGTCATTTGCTTTATTGATGGCAAAATACTCTCAACTGCAGGGGCGCAGATAGGATTTTCAACCTGGGGGCAACAAAGTTCCAATGTACCCTCCCCCAAACACACACACACACACACACACACACACACACACACACACACACACACACACACGCACGCACGCACGCACGCACGCACGCACGCACGCACGCACGCACGCACACACACACACACACACACACACACACACACACACACACACACACACACGCACACACGCACATACACAAACTATTGCAAGCGCCTTAACTACAGCTCAGTCAGTTTGTGTAATTTCATCCAATGGTTTAAAACTAAAATGGTTAAATGGTTAAAAACTAACACTATTATATACGTGTTTGAAGCCCTTATGCAGTGGAACGTTGGCAACAAAGCTCTGCCTGATCAACACTATAAATGATAAATGATCCGCACTTGTATAGCGCCTCTCAGAGTAAGGACTCCAAAGCGCTTTACACTACATTGTATCATTCATCCATTCACACACACACATTCGCACACTGATGGTGATGAGGTACGATGTAGCCACAGCTGCCCTGGGGCGCACTGACAGAGGTGCCCCACTATTTAATTCAGTCATTTGTTATTCTCCCAATCGATTATTAACCAAAACCTCATGCTTTATGCAAAACATTAAATGATTTTCAGCATACCGATCTTTACAGAAAACATAAAAGCCCTAAAAAACTGCACATAAAATATATTTAAAAACGAAATTCACTTATCACTTAGAGCAGTGGTTCTCGAACTTTTCAGCCTGACCAACAGATGTTCCTTCGTATTTTTACGTTATTTAGAATTTTTCATTTTATTTGGAAAGTTTTTATTTATATATAAATATATAAATCTCTTTTTCAATTTTATATTTTACTTTTTTATGATTATGTGGCACACTTGACTTCCATATGCACCAGCTGTCTGATGCTGCAGCAGCGTCAATCGTCCCGGCTGGATGAGTGAATTTCTTCATCAGAGTCAATATTCTGCTTCATAATCAGAGTCAGTCATGACCAGACAAAGTGATCAGTCAACAAAGACCAGACCTGCCGGAAATTATACGTTTTATCTAATATTTGCGCTCTTCATGTTGTGCGCATCTCCTCCTCTCCCCGACTGGGAGCCTCTCAGCGGCATTTTTCAAACTCTAAAAACTCCCTAACTTTGCTCAGCCTGAAGGTTGCACATCTCCACTATCTTCTGGTGTAAAGTAGTAACTTCATGAGGGATCATATTTGTAGATGAGACTTTTTAAAGTCAGCAATGAGGCTTTGGCACTTATAACGAGTAAGTCCCAACACTGACAACAATGCACTGAAACTAGAACCAACATGCATAAACAGAAAAAAATTCACCCCCCTCAGAGTTGTCATGAGTATAAACTAGATCATTTAAACAAAAAACATGTTTGGTACCAGGCTGTAAACATGTTTATTTCTCCTGTGAAATTGGTATTTTTAGCATGGGAGTCAATGAGGATTCGCTCGCTTCTGACACCAGCCCCCAGCGGATGAGGGTGGAACTGCAATTTATTTCACTTCCGGGTTTGACTCAATTTCAGAGCTGCATTGTGGGGACCTGGATGGGCCGGGCTGCGGGGAGGGGAGAAATGGGTGGAAAACAGAGGTCTCCCGAGAGCTCCACAAGCTGATCGTCGAAACCCAGCTCCACCAACATGTTAAATTTCAACCCATTTTCTAAAGTGCAGCATTATGTTAAATGCACTGGGTTTTACCCTATTACATTTAAATTTCATGGTTAAACAGTACATGTTAAAATCTAAGCTCAGCTCGGCAGTGACCTAAAATACATAAATATAATTTTACTTACCGAAAAAAATGAAGTGGAGACTCCTTGGACGCTCTATTAGTGCAATTAATGCCACAGCAAGTCATTTTGTCCAACAATTGCACAAAAAATATCCAAAAAAGATTACACAAACACAGAGACTCAAAATCCTGGAGCAGTTTCCAGGCCAGGCCGAGGCTCTACTGAGGCCTTTCCACGGAGCTAGCTCTGTGGTCACGTGTGTCGGATGCTCATTAATTATACAGAATTTTAGGCTTTTAATACACTTAAACAGAAGAGTGAGAAAAAAATTCACCCCCCTCAGAGTTGTCATGAGTGTAAACTAGATAATTTAAACAAAAACATGTTTTGGTACCAGGCTGTAAACATGTTTATTTCTGCTGTGAAATTGGTATATTTAACATGGGAGTCAATGAGGATTAGCTCGCCCCCAGCAGATGAGGGTGGAACTGCAATTTTTGATACTTCCGGGTTGGGCTCAATTTTTGAGCCGCATTGTGGGGGCTTGGGGAAAATACACATCGTCCTTTTAATAGCCACTTTCACCCTCCCTGCCCACTGGTGGTGGTCGGAGGAACCGGTGGCATCTGTGCTTGGCCATAGCAAGTGCAGGTCATTTATCATGTATCAAATGTTTTCAGTTTCTGGTCACGTCCTGGCTCTCAAACTACATCCTCCTCTGCCAGCCTGTAGATTACAGCACCAGTCCGCTGGCGATGAGGGTAAGACTCATATGACTTTAGCCATTTTCTAACACATGTATGATACATATCTCAGTGTAAAATGAGTTCCAATTGGTGAAAAACGTAACACCCATCATCTGTTTTTGAATCTATTATTTCATGTCTGCAGATGGCCAGGGGTTGCTGGTGGTTTTTCTTGTCTAAGGTCATCGAGCTCAGCGACACGGTGCGTTCCTCACATCAAGTCAGTAAAAAGGTTTTAAACTCAGATTTAATTTCTGCTTTCCTCTAGAGCAGCTCTTCTTCATCTTGAGGAAGAAGAACAGCCAGCTGACTTTCCTTCATGTTTATCATCACGGCACCATGATCTTCAACTGTTGGGCGGGAGTCAAGCACGTAACAGGACAGTGTAAGTTACTTGGCATCATGCAAAAGTTTGCACTAATCCCGTCAGATTATTCTGAATGAAAAAGATCATCCACAATAGTAAATGGTTGGATTTCCTGCACTCTATGTAGCTAAAGATTGACTAGTGGCATTTTGTTTTGTTCAGAACACTGAGTGGTGACAGAGTACTGCTCATGTAGAGGTGTAGAACCTTCTAGAGTGCTGAGACAATCTTATGGGTGCTTCATGCTGTAAGTGTCCCTCCTTTGTGTAGCAGAGTTCAAAGTGAATACAATTATCAATGCCGGCTGGGACGCAATTGTCTGATGAAGATGCATACAAAGTGTATTGCATACTTTTTCAATTTTGCACTTATTAAAATAAACTTTATTCACCAGTGCTCCAGTTCACTGTTTTGATCATCAAATATTGTCACAGCAAAGGGTCTGAATACTCAGGACCAAGTGATATTTCAGTTTGTCTTTTTTAATAAATCTGCATACATTTCTAAAATGTTTTTTTTTTGTTAATACGGGCTGCTGTGTGTACATTAATGAGGAATTTTTTTAATTTAATTGATTTCAGCAAATGGCTGCAATTTAACAGAGTGAAAACTCGATGGGGCTCTGAATAATTTCCATACCCACTGTGCCTGAACAAGTTGTTTTAATTAGGTCTCATTTGCAATGTCAAAAAAAGTAAAAATTAATATAAAACCTCTTTCACTTGCAAGAGAGAGCTACTGCTAGAGAAATGGAGGCCCGACTCCCACTCCTGGATAAGATCTTCTCAGCATAAAGCAGCCTGAGGGGGGATGGGTGGGCATGGCCAGCTCAAACTTGTTTTCTTAAAGGGACAATGTGTAGTTCTTACCGTTAATGTTGTTGAAAATGAAGTCATAAAATGTCCCTTATGAATAAACTTTAGAAAACTTGTTGTACATGTGCCAACATTTATTCATTTAGGAAACATTTCATGTGTTTCAGTCTTTCATTCATGCATTCAGAAGAGCTGAAAGCACAGCGTGGGAGGCTTTTTGATATTTTGATAACTTACGTGTGCAAACATTTAATACTTATCTAAACTAATCATCTAAAACTTCATTTATTCATGCTTTCTGAAAAAGTCTTTAATTTCTGATTTTTATAATTTAGTGTCTTGTTATAATTTCAGGTAGAATGATTTTTAAGCCCTCCATTATTTTTTAAGCTTAACTTGTTTGATTTATCTTTATAATTCTGTGCTTTAAAATTATCAAAACTAAAGTATAACTGCTAACTTTCTCCTTCATCTGCACCACATCCTGCAGCATTCTTCGTCGGCCTGGTGAACTCATTCGTTCACATCATCATGTACTCCTACTACGGCCTGGCAGCAATCGGCCCTCACATGCAGAAGTACCTGTGGTGGAAGCGATACCTGACCTCTCTGCAGCTGGTGAGCAAGTGGCTCCACAAGTGTTTGATGTACATTAACTATTGGTTTATTCTGTCGCAAACTCTTAATTGCATCTACAGATGCAGTTTCTTCTCTTCCTCCTGCACGTGAGCTACAACCTGTTCACAGAGTGCGACTACCCCGACTCGATGAACGTGGTGGTGTTTGGTTACTGCATCAGCCTCATCATCGTCTTCAGCAACTTCTACTATCAGAGCTACCTCAACAGGAGGAAGCAGAAATGATGAAACACTGACCTTATGGAGAGATGACAGCTCATAAAAATATGAAGGTGAATTATTGGACAATTTGGTTATATTATGGAGATTTTAACATCAATGTACTGAACCAAAAAAACACAAAACTCTAAATGACAACATATGTCATAGGTTCTATGCATTATTGAAGTCTACATCCTGGAATCACCGACACACGAAACTTATACTGTCCGGCCCAAAAACGTCCACCTGGATTTAACCAAGCAAGCAGGTAGGAGCCTCCTATTGGATAACTACTGCATGTAGCTGGCTAAAAGTTATTTAACCCCAACTGGTGCAACGAGTTGCTTCTCATTTCTTAAACAATCATGTGGAAAGACACATCTGGTGGTTAAGGAAAAGATTTTAGTCTGTTTGAGGAGGGTCAGATCATTGGCATGCATCAAGCAGAGAAAACATTTAAGGAGATTTTAGAAACAACTAAAACTTGGTTAAGAACTGTCCAACGCATCATTAAAACTGGAAGGATAGTGGAGATTGCTTTAAAGAAGCAATCTGACTGGAAAAAAATCCTGAATAATCGTGATTGGCAATCACTTAAACATTTGGTGAAATCAAATCAAAGAAAAACAAAGAAACTATGTTTTATGGTGATTCATTTGATGCTTAGTTTTATATTCTACTACTTTGTTTACTATTCTCATTACAACTGCACAGTTGAGCAAAGCAAATATGGGATAGGCTCAAATAAACCTTGGGTCAGCCTATTTCAATTTTGAGCTCAATTTATTTAGTGATCTGTAAATGTACAAAGGTTTAAAAGGGATATGTACAATTGGAATAAACATTAATTAATTAACTAATTAATTAATTAATCTGTTCTTTCATTCATTCTTTTTTCGTAAATCCCCTCTTGGCCATGGCAGATGGCTGCTCATTCTTAGGTCCTGCTGGAGGTTTCTTCCTGTAAAGGGGAGTTTTCCTCTCCACTGTCACTAGATGGCTAGCATGAGGGATTCCTGTAAAGTCTCTGACACAAGTCAGTGACTCTATGCAATCTGCTGGGTTTCATAAGATATAAAACTTTTAAAGCTGTTAAAGTGAATCTACAGAAAGAGCTAGGGTTTGAACGCAATCACGATCACAAACCACTCAACTCTCCCCTGGGGTATTTTCCCTGACACGTCTGCAGGAACCAGAACCCCGCAATGCCAGAGGAAACAAAACAGTGTTAAACACCAGTCACCATTTTCTAGGTCCAATCGTTTTTTGTTGTCCGTGGCTTCAAATGGTGCATTTCATTTTGGGGCACTGGTAGTTTGTCCTAAAGTTGAAGTGGTAGCAGCCGGCTGTTTCTCCTTCTCTGATATTACTGAGCGGAGAACCTCTCACACCATTGGTGTTCTGGTCCTAAGTACTCAAGTGTATAATGAATGAAGGATCCAGGGAAGTGCAGCAAGACCAACAACCGGATGGTCCAATAGTTGCTTTCAGTCCAAACTGTGTTACTTGCAGAGGCTTGTATACATTTCGGCCGCTTGTATCCGCGATCTCATTCTTTCGGTCACTACCCAAAGCTCATGACCATAGGTGAGGGTAGGAACGTAGATCGACCGGTAAATTAAGAGATTCGCCTTCTGACTCAGCTCTCTCTTCACCACGACAGACCGGTACAATGCCCGCATCACTGCAGATGCAGCACCAATCCGCCTATCGATCTTGCGCTCCAATTTTCCTCACTCATGAACAAGACCCCGAGATACTTAAACTCCTCTACTTGGGGCAGGACCTCATCCCTGACCCGGAGAAGGTAATTACCTTTTTCCGAATCAAGACCAAGGTCTCAGATTTAGAGGAGTTGATTCTCATCCTAGCTGCTTCACACTTGGCTGAGAACCGCTCCAGCGAAAGCTGAAGATCACATTCTGATGAAGCCAACAGGATCATATCATCTGCAAAAAGCATGGACCCGATCCTCAGGTCACCAGAACGGATGCCCTCCACACCTTGGCTGTGCCTATAAATCCTGTCCATAAAGGTTATGAACAGAATCAATGACAAAGGGCAGCCTTGGCGGAGTCCAACTCTCACTGGGAAAGAGCCCAACTTACTGCTGGCAATGTGGACCAAGCTCTGACACCGGTCATACAGGGACCTAACAGCCCGTATCAGAGGGCCTGGTACCCCATACTCCCGGGGTAACCCCCACAGGGTCTCTTGAGGGACGCAGCCAAACACCTTCTCCAAATCCACCAAACAATGTAGACTGGTTGGGCAAATTCCCACGCACCCTCCAGGATCTCCCTAAGGGTATAGAGCTGGTCCAGTGTTCCACGACCAGGACGAAAACCACATTGCTCCTCCTGAATCTGAGGTTCAACAATCCGACAGACCCTCCTCTCCAGAACCCCTGAATAGATCTTACCAGGAAGGCTCAGGAGTGTGATCCCCCTGTAGTTCAAACACACCCTGCTGTCCCCCTTTTTAAATAAGGGAACCACCACCCCGGTCTGCCAGTCCAGTGGGACTGCCCCCGATGTCCACGCGATATTGCAGAGCCGCGTCAGTCAACACAGCCCCACAACATCCAGAGCCTTAAGAATCTCCGGGGGCGGATCTCATCCACCCCTGGAGCCTTGCCACAGAGGAGCTTTTTAACCACCTCAGTGACCTCAGCACCAGAGATTTGACAGGCCAACCCAAAGTCCCCAGACTCTGCGTCCTCACTGGAAGACATGTCGGTGGGATTGAGGAGTTCTTCGAAGTATTCTGCCCACCGATCCACAATGTCCTGAGTAGAGGTCAGCAGCACACCGTCCCCACTATAGATAGTGGCGTTAAACCAGGGATGGGGAACCCTGGTCCATCAAGGGCCGCTATCCAGCATATTTTAGTTTCAACCCTGCATCATCCCACCCGATTTCAATCAGCAGGTGATTAACAAGCTTCTGCAGAGCCTGAAGATCCTGGTTTTTGTGTTTAAACCCCTCAATAACTTAGCACCTGGCTACTTGTCTGAGCTCATTCACCCTTATGTCCCTACGAGATCCCTCCGATCAGCCAACCAGCACCTCCTACATGTCCCTAGCTCCCGCTGTAAATCCCGCGGGGAGCGCACCTTTTTAGTTTGTGCACCGAAGCTCTGGAACCACTTGCCCCTCCTGATCAGACTCTCTTCCTCTCTTTCCCTTTTTAAGTCTCATTTAAAAACTCACTTTTATTTGTTCGCTTTTAATTCAGTCTAACTTATTCTCTTTGTCCTTTTCTTTTCGATTTGAATTACTCGATTTTATGGATTTATTTTTTATTTTTTTAGTTATTTATCTTTTATTTTTGATTGTTTTTAGTGTGTGTTTTTGTTCAGCACTTTGGTCGGCTCTCATGCCGTTGTCGGTACAAGATCTGTTCGGGTGCAAGATCGGCTCGGGGTCCGTCGACTGTCGATGACGTCAAAGTAGTTGATTGGCTGAACATGAACCTTGCGGAATAACGTAAGCACATTACGTTGTTATCACGTTACGTTGGTCCAGGCAAATCTTTCTGTTGGAAAGATGGACAACGTTTACAAAGAAATCCATCATTACCTCTTTGAAAATACACTTTTAGCATAGAGCTGCAAGTATATTAGGGCTGAACGATTAACTGCATGTGCAATTAAATTGCGATGTGACAAAAGGAGATTTTCTAATCTCAAAGGCTGCAATTTGGCAGCGAGTGGTTAGCTAATATACATGGAAAAACCCATAGGAATGCTAATGCTAATATCACTAATTACATTCTTACAAATTATGAATTAGAAACGTGCCAAATGATTACATTTGGAGTCTAATAGATAGTAAAACTACCACCAATCAAATAAGTACAGACAGGTATTTTAGTAAAACCAGAAAACTTTTAACTCCAGAGTTTTGGCTAGCAGCTATGAGCGTAACTGAACTACGCATGGACAAGACGTCAAAAACTAAACACAAAATACTTCAATAAACGGGACACACTTCTTTCCTGCAAATACAATTTCACATGTTGCTAATACCTATGATCCTTCAAGGGATGTGCTCAAAGAGGAGTTCAACATTATGAATAAAATATAGTGTTTTATTTTACAAATACCATTATAAACACAAACTTACATCTTAATAAACATTATTTTAATAACGACACTGCTAAATTCTTTCCAACAGTATAGATGTGTAGTGTATTTCGTCTGAGTGGGTTTGCCGTACTTTGACGTCATCGGCCGTCGAAGGACCCCGAGCCGATCTTGCACCCGAGCAGATCCTGTACAGACACCGTGTTTAAATGTGCTACACAAATAAACTTGGTATGGTATGGTATGTGGGCTTCTGTGAGCTGGATCCGACCCAGAAAACTCACTCGACTGGCCCGCTGAGCCGCACATCTCATCTAGTGGTCGGTTCTGACCTGGTTTTGACGGTGATCTGAGCTCCAGAAATCAGCATTTAATTTTTTAAACCTCGCCAGCTGAACATTAAAATAGTTTTCTATATATATCTCCTGCATTAGCTTCTGATAGAAAATACAGTGAAAATCTAGGATTTCAAAAGCCACTCCTATAGAAACCACTCTACGTGTATCACATGTTAAACACATCTTTAACAAAAAAAGCCCCTGACTGCCTTCAGGTGGTCCAGAACTCTGCAGAGAGGCTCCTAACTGGAACAAACAGAAGAGCTCACATCACTTGTATTCTGATGTCTCTGCACTGGTTTCGAGTGACGCGATCTTCACGAACGAATCAAAGTTTGTGAAAGGGTTTTCAAAGAGGACGATGAGAGCCGAGTTCTTGTAGAGAACTGTTCATCTAGTCTTCCAGTAACGCCCCCCCCCCAACGCCCACCCCCCAGTGCTGTCATGGGCCTTGGCAGAATGCTATCCCAGTTTTCGGACCCAGGACATACAGAACCAAACACCAAGTCTAGGTAATGAAATAATGATACCTATTACTGTACAAGTCAATGATAACTAAGGGTGCGCTGTGACGTGCGGCGGGGAAACAGATCCTTACTCAAGACAGAGTTCTGAAAGTACAGAACCACCGTACCTCTCTGAGCTGTTTGCTCCTTATGTCTCTGGGCGAGCACTGAGGTCTGCAGATCTCTTTTTGCACTCCACGTGCTTTTATCATTTGGCCTGTAAATTTCAGACCATGTCTGTAATCGTATTAATTGTTGATCCTAATGTTTGTTTCATAATCTTTTATTTAATTATGTTGCAATGTATTTTATGGGAAGCACTTTGGTCAGGTCTAATGCTGTGTGTAAGTGTGCTATAACTAAACTGGTATGGTGCACTATTTGTAATTCTGTCTTAAATCAGAAAACAATACATCTAGGCTGTATTATAACCTAAGATTATATGAGAAAATGTTTTATCTGTTAGTTTATCTAATATACAGAATATTGAATACATGTAATAATAAACAAAAGCATTTTACAATTTAGTTAAATGTGTTTACATAACACTAGTTCACAACTAAAGCCATCTAAAGGCCCTTTACTAAGCATATATTCTCTAGACTCACGGGGGGGGGGGGGGGGGGGGGGGGAGGTTGAGAAGACTGCCAATAAAATAAATAGATAAACTGGATTATGACTTTCTATGCTAAAGAAAGTTAGGCATTTACGGAGGGGGGACATTTACCGGTTGGCCGTAAATGCTATCTTGATTTGGACGGGGGAGAATTATTCACCGTTCACTGATTCCAGATTCTGGAAATGAAATTACAAAATCTGGTAAAAAGTGTCTGCTTTGGTTCGAAACAAGGTAGACAGTAGTAGACACCACAGTCTGATGCTGAAAAGTCTGAATCCAAACTCACATATTTTAGTTCATCAATTGGAGCGGAACTGTTTGTGTTCCTGCCTTCAACACCCATCATTATTTCATGAGCCTTCTCCACATATAGGCTGTTCCTGGCGTCAGCAAGGTGCTCCATGGTGATAAACCTGTGCTCCAGCGCTGCAGCTGGAAGGATCCTTTCTGCCGGATTCACACATAGCATTTGTTTCAGAAGGTCTAAGAATGCGTTGAAGTCTTTGACTTCAGTATGACCGGCGTTTGCTGGTATCAACCTTGTTAAATCATCTAGGGAGTGTAATGTATCATATATTGAATGGCTCTTTGTAATCTTCTGTCCTGTGGCCTGCTCATATTCTTCAGGTGTTTTAAGTCTCCATAAGTGTTCAGGTCCACTCTTGTCCAGTGTGAAAAATTTATTGGCTTGCCAGCCATCACTGAGGGAATGACTGCTGGGAAGACCAAGAAGCTTTACAATTATCCTCACTGCTTCATACTCGTCACTTGGGCAAAGGGTCTGACTTAGAGCCAAAAAGGCCAGAGTATATCCGAGACTCCATAGGTCGAGGGATTCATCCCGTGGCGTGCCCAGATGGATCTCAGGAGCTCGGTACGCCACAGCCTGCATCAGACGACGCTTTGATAATCTGTGTGTCCTATAAGCAAGTCCAAAGTCGATAAGCTTGACTCTAAACGGCTGTGACTCATGATTTACCAGCATGATGTTGTCTGGTTTGATGTCTGTGTGAGTGACACCGATTTGCTTGAGAAAGCCAAGTGTTTCCAACAACTGCTTGGCGATCGGTCTGATTTCAGACACCGTCAGATGAATATAATCTCTGTCTTTCAATAAGTCAAACAGAGTTCGGTCCAGCAGCTCATACACAATGCAAAAATATTTGCTACATGCAAAACATTCGATTACCTTTGTGATGAACTTCTTGCTAGAGTCGTGGTGGTTGAGATATTTTAAGATTTTCACTTCATGCGTCGCGTCTTCCTCTTCTGTCATTAATTTAATCGCTACTAATTCATCTGTTCCTTCAATTCTGCACAGGACAACCGTCCCAAAGGACCCATATCCAAGCACCTTATCCACATGGTAAACATTTGTACGGCTTCTGATAACATCACCCGTCTTTATTATCTGGCTTGTTTCTATCTCTTTCTTAGTTGATTCTTTAATTTCTGATTTGACGTCTTTTAAATCCTGAGGTGGAACGTTGTCTGGTGTCCTATCGCCTCCCCCTGTCTTTATTTCACTATCAGTCACAGTTATTTTGCTCCTGAAAAATGTGTGATGCAGAGCCTCTGCTGGAAGGATTCTGTCAGCAGGATTCACACATATCATTTGCTTTAAAAGGCCTACAAACGCTCGTTTTCCTTCCAGCTCAATAGGATCTTTCACTGGTAGGACTGAATGCATCAAGAAATCCAGAGACACTAAATCGTCATAGTCTTTGTCTGTCTTATTAAATAGCTTTCCAGTCGTTTGCACATATTCATAAACTGATTTAAATGTCCATGTCGATCCAGATGTGAAAAAGTGTTTGGCCCGCCGTCCCTCCTTCAGTAAACTCTCATCAGGATTCCCGAACAGCTGAACAATGACTCTCAGATACTCGTATTCATCACATGTGGGGTACAAGTGAAAACCCAGGGACAGAAACGCGAGTGTACAGCCTAGACCCCATGTGTCCACGCTGTTATCCAGGCGCCCATCCAAAACTATTTCTGGAGCGCTGTAACCACAATTTACAGCGATGTCCCGTTCTGATAATGTAGAAGTGAGACACGCTTTACCGAAGCCAATTAGTTTAACCCTGAGCGGCTGTGATTCGTGGTCAACTAACATAATATTCTCAGGCGTTACGTTAGTGTGAGTAAGGCCAGCTTGTTTTAGGGAATTCAGAGCTAAAAGCATTTGATCAGCAATAATCCTGATTTCATCTATGCTCAAAGGTTTCCAGTTTCTTTCCCTCATAAAGTCCATTAACGTCATGTCCAGTTTCTCGAAAGCAATGAAAATCCTGTCCTGATAGAGAAATACCTCTCTAAACTTCACCAAGTTGTTCTTGTCACAGTTAAGACTCGAAACATATTGTAAAACTTCTTCTTCTTGTTTGTAAGAATCCTCAAACTTTTTCCGAATACATTTGAGAGCAAAGATTTCTCCTGTTTCACGATGCGTGCATTGAACAAGTTCCCCAAAATCACGCCGCTTCAGGATTTTATCCACGTGGTACGTACCTGTTCTGCTAATAATACTGACGCCTTCATAAATTTCAAAAGGTTTTTCATCTTGTGAGTTCATTTTGAAATGTTGTTCAGGCTCAACGCGCATATCGTCAACCTTTTTCTGTAACTTTGTCTCTTTGGGGCCAAAATCGTCCGTTTCTCGTGACATCTGACTAAAGACAGTTTTTCCCTCTGCTTCCAAACATTTAACCAGTTGTTTTGCTTTTAACCTTAGATAAACTTGTCTTTCTTTAGTGAGTTTCTGGCAAAAATCTTCCATCGTTTGCTGGTTTGTGGCAGGAGCAACGACTTCCTCCTTTGGCAAAAAGGTGAAATCTGTATTGAAACAGTTAATATTTATCTGTTTCATTCCTAAATTACATTTATTGTTCATTCGATATTTCTCTCTTAAAATTTCTTTTCTTGTTTCAAGAATAATTTTTTCCCCCTGTTTTTTAAGAGTTTCGATTAAATATTCCATCTCTCGTCAGTTTTCACTAAACTCCAAAAAAGGTCCTAGTTTCGTAGAAATGATTGTGGTTTTTTAAAGATCCTTTGAATAAAAGTCCTTTTCAGAAGTCTGCTAACGTCTTGACACTAGCTTGTCACAAGATGAAATGAGTGTGTGTGGTGTCTGCGGAGCTATCTAAGCTTCTATGACGTCATAGTTTTGATGACACAACAAAGGCACATATCTGACGCTCACGCATGCGCTGACGCAGCAACCCCCCCCCCCCCCCCCCCCCCCCCCCCCCGACGGCATACCTGGCAGAGGGGCGCGTAGCAGGCACCCAGCAGTCAGACAGCAGAGTGCGCCAAGGCTGCAGTAAATATGTCTGCAAAAACTAAGTCTGGGTCACAGAAAAGGAAAGAGAGAAAGGAGAAAGGACAGGCAGAAGAGAGGGCGTCAGTATGTCTCACAGTTTTTCTCAAAGAAAGGTGGGTTTAGTTAGTGAGTGGTTAAATTCAACCTGTTTGCTAGCTTTGATATCCACAATGAGAGGAACTATGCTTCATCTAATTATGGTAAATGGGTTGTTGTCCTTGTCCCTACCAGAATCAGCAGTTGATGATATGTCAGCAGGTGTCCCCTCACAACCCAATGAGCCCCAAGAAGGTGAGCAATGTAGCATGTTAGCTAGCAGCCTCATTTAAGGCGGTCTGTGGGACGAGGCTGGTTAGCTTCCGATTCGGGAAACGGCTAAAGGGCCATTACACCCAATTTTTCTCTACTCTGACCATCTTTAATCTGCTCTAGCTCAAAAACTACAACAGCCACACTGTTCAAACCCGTTCTAGATTATTCTACTCTAATAGCAGATTACATCCAACCTTATGTGGGATTTGTGAAACCTTTTCCTGATTTGTGAAACTTCAACAAAGCCTGATTTATGCGTTTTTTCAGCATCTGGCCAACGATGGAACAGCTGTAGCTCAAAAACTACAACAGCCACACTGTTCAAACCTGTTCTAGATTATTCTACTATAATAGCAGATTGCATCCAACCTTGTTTGGGATTTGTGAAACCTTTCCCTGATTTGTGAAACTTCAACAAAGCCTGATTTATGCGTTTTTCAGCATCGGGCCAACACTGGAACAGCTCTAGCTCAAAAACTACAACAGCCACACTGTTCAAACCTGTTCTAGATTATTCTACAATAATAGCAGATTGCTTCAGTCCACCCCCTCCAAGCAAGAAAAAAACGAACAACTTATAAACAAAAAGGTTGCTGCTCATACTGGGGAGGGGAAGGAAACATTGGAGATGAAACAATTACCATGATCAACACATGCACAATTGACAATCTCCCGTACATTTTGCATTTGGCAATTAAACGAAAAGCAGGGGTTAAAAACGACATTGAAGGACCTTTCAAACATGGCATGTGGGTGTCAACTTTGTTTGAGGTAGACAAACTTTTTGACAAGAAGGAATGGGCACAGGGTAAAATATTGTGGTTGAAGAAAATTGGCAGATTTAATGGACATTCTTGGCCACACAGAATCACATATCACACAGACAAAATGTTGTGTTACAGATAATGTAATAATAACCATACAAGTTAATAATTATTTTTTTCAGCAACCCGAAGCCCTGCCATGAAAAAGATGCCCAACACGAACGTGTGTTTTTGCATGGACTTCCTTGTGTTCTTCTGGTTACAGGATTGCACAAAGGACATGTTTCTGACAAGCTGTATCCAACATCCTTGCCATTACTTGTGACAGTTCTTGGTGGAAAGTAAGACTTGCATAAGATATCAATTACTTGACTTTTTTTTTACATTTATTCTCTGCTGTTTTACATACAATTTCTATTGTTATAACATTTATTTTTTTGCTTTATGGCTGCAGGTGTGGTTTCACTGCTGATCGAATGTTTCTGCAAAACAGAAAATCATTTTTTAACCATATAGAACATTATTTTGGGAAATACATAACGTACAACTGCAGCCAATTAGTTATTATCTGTACATCATATGAAAAACCGTAATGACTGAATTTCATTATGTAAAAACCAGTACAAGATCAGATAATATTTTTTGCTGGCTTATCAAATAGTGTTGCAATAAGGTGGCCCCACTGTGTAACTGCATATTCTACTGGTTGTTGAAGTGACCACATGTCCATACATTGCAGAACTACACTGTATTAGTAAATTCCCATGGATGTAGTCATAATAGAACAATTACTTATCACAGGCCAGCGGCTCTATGTAACTAGCCAAAATAAATAAATAAAAAGAAATATAGAAAATCATTCATCCATCAGTTGGCATCCACTTTGTTAAGTTGTGGGGGCAGCAGCTTCAGCTGCGAGACCCAGACTTCCCTCTCCCCAGCCTCCTAGTCCAGCTCCTCAGGAGGAATTCTAAGGTGTTCCCAGGCCAGCATTCATACATAGTCCCTCTAGCATGCCCTGGGTCGTCCTTCCAGTTGGACGTGCCCAGAACACCCAGCACAGGAATAATGCCAACATAGATTAAAGACATGTAATGGCTTTGGGAAATTGAAATTAATGTCAGACACTATCTCTGTGCTGTTTCATAAAACAGGTATGAGCCAGCAGCTGTCACATATCACCTTGGCGCAAAAAGTCACTTTGTGGCATTCCACAAACTAGGAACAGACCAACAGCGGCACTTCTATGACAGCTTGGCAGAATCAAAACAAGCAGGGAGTGGAGATGTAAGAGATGCACAGAGGACCATCCCAAAAACTCTTCAAACTAAAGCCAGACTTGGCAACTGCCTTTTATTGTTGTGTTCAGTACCTTGGGCTTCTGCGGGTTGTGGAAGGTGCTCTATGAATGAATGAATGAATGAATGAAAACTATTAGTTATTAGTTCAAAGACCAATAAATACCCAACTGCATAAAAAACACACTCAGACATTGAACCAGACACTGAATTTCTTTCTTTCATTAATTTTTTTAAAGGCCCACATACAGTCCATACAGCTTCTCCTTCAACCACCAACCCTCCTCAACACCACAACCTCCCTTCTCAGGCCCTGTCCACATGTAGCCGGGGATCTGCCAAAACGTAGATATTTTTCTACGTTTTGGCCTGTCATCCACACGAAAACGGAGTTTTTTCACACGAAAACGGATCTTTTTAAAAACTCCGGCCAAAGTGAAGATCTGCGTTTTCTCCGTTTTGGGTGTCTGCGTGTGGACAGACAAAACCGGAGTTTTAAGGTCCGCAACGTCACTTTCCACGACAAAAAAATGCTGACATCACGTGTGCGACCTGTGTTTACACTAGCCGACAGCATGGATGCCCTCAGAGCTGCGCTCGCTTTATCAATTGTCCAAGCGCTTTTTGCTTGTTTGTTTTTGCAAGCGGAATCACTGCTCCTTGCGGAAGACCACAGACGAAGGACGAGGTTAAGAACGGGGGAAGTACTGCCGCCTACCGGTCTGGCATGTTCTTAACAACGTATTTATCTGGGTACGTGTGGACAGAGTTTATTTTTAAAACGAGGTGGTGTGGATGCAAATTTTTGGAGGGGCGGATATTCGTTTAAAAAAAACCCGGCTACGTGTGGACTAGGCCTCAGTTACATTTGACCAGGTGACGGGAGAAGAGGCGGCTTAAGGGCAGGAAAGCTGCAGGACCCAGACTGCTCAAATGCTGCTCCAGCTTTGTAAAGTTGTCATGCAAATGTTGAACCTGAACCTTTGTTTGGAGCAGGTCCCCATCCTGTGGAAGACCTTGTCATGAGCCGGGGTGAGTACTTTTCTCAACTTTCCACCTTGAGTTGTGTTTTGCAGGAGAGGGAGTGTTCCAGCCGCACCTGGTCTGCAATCGGCGGGTCTCCTACATAAGGTGGATGAAGAACACAGCTCGACGCCGGATGATTGCTACAGCTTGGTAGTTTCCAGCCTTCGTTGTGTATAGGATTTTTGAGACTCTAGTGTTTTGTGAACTCTCTCGTGACTTTGGGTATTTTGGCTACTCACCTCCAGGTTTTCTCGACACCTCAGGATACCACACTTGTGCTCCATAGGATTTCCGGACCTCACTCACCTGACCGACCCGCTCTCTTACTCACCTCACGCTCCCTCTCCTGGACTCCTCCACTTTGATACACCCCGGCTCACAACCTCCCCCCTCACTCCAGAGCTTTCCCTCATCCCCAGTAAGTCTTTTCTCTGCACCTTCCTAGTTAAGACTTGCTTCCCTGGACTCACCTGTATTTGCTCTCCTCCACTAGATGCTGCACTCCCGTTCCCCATCCCACTGGACTTCCCAGTGCGCCTTCAGTTAAACCTTTTCATAATAAAATATATTATTTATCCATCTATCTGTGTGCGGGTTTGTGATTCTGCATGTCTTGGGTTAGACGTATTCCCCAAACCATGACAGACCTCCTGTGTGGTTCCAGTTCACGTCCCAGGGAAACCAGACCACTACAGACCACCTGCCTTTAACTCCCACCTGATGAAGACCATGGAGAGACTCATCCACACCCACCTATGCTCCGTGGTGAGCCCAGAGATGGACCCATTGCAGTTTGCATATGTGGGTGGAGGACGCCCTCATCAGACCAGAATGAGAGCAGCACTTCCTTCCTTCCTCAAGCCTCACCTCTGAGCTGCTTCTTACTCAGGAGGAAAACTGATACAATCATGGGAAATCCCTTTGTATGCTCAACAAACAGCAATTGTTTGAACATTTAATGATGCAACAGGGACACATTGAAGTAGCGCAAGTAGCTATAAAAGGCCTATGATGTTGTCTCTGACAGTTTGTGGGCCCACTCCTTTTATGGTATCCTTCCCCCTGTGTCGATAGAAGGCCAGCAGTCAGCTTCCTTCGTTTGTTTTCTCGTCAGCCAAATTCTTCATCCTGAAAAGATGAAACATTGAGTAAAAGGCCGCTGTGGTTTCAGAGGTATTCCTAATAAAACCTGCAGATTTATGACCTAAAGTTACAAGATTGTGTGTCTAGGGATAAGAAAACGCTAATACTTAATTCCAGTCACACCCTAGTTAATGAGCAGAGCTTCCAGGAAAAATTAATGGAAGTTGTCCTTTTGGTTTCCTGATTTCAGCCCTTCGGGTGTGGCTGAAATCTTATTTTTTTTTATGTTTGGTTTTGCAGATGTGTTCTTCCACTTCAGTATAGGCAACGCCCTGTCGTTTCCCCCCAAATTTTCAGCAGCTTTTAATTTAATTTAGCTGGTTTGTTACATTTAGAAAAATTCAACCTTGGCCATAAACTAATATTTTACGGTTTATTATGATGTTTTCTTTGAGAACACAAATTGGACATCTCTCAGTATGAATGGCTTTTTGTAACATTATTTTTGAGTCTGGCAGATCGGTGTTGTTTTTAACCTTCAGAAATGTTCAATTAAGTAAATTTAACAATGATTTTTCTAAATAATTTTATTTATTATTCAACTGTAGCTTTAGTCCTGAACCAGGAGGATGTTTCCTCAAACCTTTTTGTTAAAAACCAACAGTATCAAAATAATGAATCAGGATGTGAAAGAAGAAGCAAGAGGGGTTTGAACTGCATGACGTCAGGACAGACCAACCATGTTTCCTACTAAGAGTCTTTGGGAGAGTAGTTTTTACCCACTGAGGCATTTCCAATCACTGGTCCCTTCCCTTTGTCAATCCCTCAGCTCACAGACAGAGCTATACTGATATTAGCAATTAGAAATCATTTGACTTTTGTCTAATTCTGTTTTGGATCATCTGAAGCTCATAATTACATTTCTGAAAATTTTATCCTCATCAATGTAAACATCTGTCTTTGACACATTGATTTTGTGTTGTTTTTCCCAGATGCTGTAGGTTATTTTGGGATTCACATCCACTTACATGACAGAATAAGTGTGTGTTACTGCGTGTGTGTTTTGAGAGTGAGGACAAGGGGTTGGCGGGAGGTTATAGGGGTTCTCTGGGAAAACATAAACTGTAAACAGTAGAAACCACTGGAGTGCGGACTGGTTGAGACCCCGAGCAGGACCCTGCATTCCTCTGATGTTTCAAGCTTTCAGCCTTGGAGAGGCAGCGATGAGCGACGGTAGGATGAAAGAGGCAGCCATGGCTTTAGTGAGGTGGAAACGTCTGAATAGGATGACTCAGACTGTGGGGGTCCCTCAGTGTGACATTCCTGATCTTCTCAGGGTATTGTTTGAGCATCTGCAGGATGTCCAGCAGTAGTAGCTTCCTGTTTCATGACTCATACCTCTACATCTGTCAAACAGCAGAAAAAACGGTCGGGAAAATATTCTTTTGAAGCCTTTTTGGTTATTTTTTTTTACAGTTACTATTTAATAATGTTTAAACATCAAATATTTTAATTGTAATTTTCTGTATCTCAAATCTACTTTTTTTTGTCTAGATGGGGTTGTTCTTGATTAAATGAAACAATACAATTCTCCTCTTGCTAGGAAATTGAACAACTTACAGTAGAGGTTAGATAAATCTCACAACATGAGGATTTTCTTCTCACATCTCTTCTTACAGATAAACTTTTGAATCCCAAAGGAGTTATTCTTCAAACGTGTGAAGCCACAATCAGGATTGTCTCTGAGTTTTCCCAGTAAAAGATTGTGTGAAGTTGGGGAAATCTTGCTTGCTTCAGTCTCCAGAGGAAGTATTTCCTCCATTGAGCTTTCTTTGCCAGGTGTTTGGTGCCAAGATTTGATGTATTCCCAAAAATGTGGTGCTGCTGGCTATATCGAAAGGATCATCATTTCAGGGAAGCTACCGTTATCTCTTTAGTTGGGTTGATCGGTTGTGCTTCTCATTTCACCTGTTAGATAGTTCACCACTGTTGAATTCTGCTGAATTTGGCAGTTGTGTAACAGCAACAACGCAAAAGTAAAACAAAAGAGGACTAAGTACACATCCTAGAGGCACCCCTCTGAGCTGGAGCAAGTTGTCTCCTTACCAGCACCTACCCTCCGTTTTCTTTCTGATAGGAAATCCAAAATCCATTTGCAGAGTGACATTTTGATTTGGAGTGGCTAGAAGCTGCAATATGATGCATTAAAGTCTGAGGAGAAGCTGATATAATAGAGTATAATAGACTTTATTGATCCCACTGTGGGGAAATGAACTGACTACTGGTGTAGCTGCTCTTCTTTTCAGGCAGGACAACATGGAGTCATTAAATCATTTGCAGATTGACTAGCACAAAACACAAATTGTATGGGGTGCAGAGAAGCAGGATGTTAGCTTTAATGTCGCCCACATTGTTCAAAGCACTTCTTTATAACAGAAATCAGTGCAACGGGCAGGTTACAGTTGTTTTCCAGAGCAACAAGTGAGTTGATTCTACTCTGCTGGAGAGAAATAGATGAAAAAAGTTGATCAAACCAGAGGCCACCACTATTTATTACAATATATGCATAGATAATTGCCATTATGCATATTATTTTTGTAGTTTTTCATTTTACAGATTAAAACATATCAGAAAATGAAGAAATATTTAATAACTTGCAGAGCCTCTGGGACACTCCTACCTTCCAGTAGCCTGGCAAGCCAGACTAAATAAATATATTATTTAGTCTGGCAACGCTCCATTGACGGCTCTCGGTTGTGGGGCGGGTTCTACCGTTGTCTTTCAAATGATCTCCGCATGCTACTGGACAATGAATGTGACATACTCACCGCAACAGCTATCGGTAAATGAGGTGGCCCACAGTTGAAGATGGAGAAGACACATAATTTTTTCAAAAAAAAAAAAAAAAGCACTTAAATACATCTATCTGCTCCTGATTCTAATGAAGCCCAAGTTCTAATAGTCCAAAATTGATGTAAAAGCCGTTTCAAACGAGCTGTCACCATCTTGTTTCACTCTGTTGCACCATCCCACCCACCAGGCATATAGAGTGCCCTGATTGGCCCACAAAGCGTATAAAGCTCTGTGATTTGTTCACTAAGCAGATAGAGCACTATGATTGGCCCACCATTATGGACCAATCACAGCTCTTTATGTGTTTGAAACCCCTCTAGAGAGCTGTGATTGGCCAGCCAGAATGCTGTTAGGGGCTGCAGAGGTTCCAGTGGAGCGTTCCTAGACCAAACTTTGCAAAGCAAGAATTTGGTCTAGTTCACTAGGCTAACCTTCCAGCACAAAGCAGCAGAGTACTTCCCCACAAACATTGAAAAATGGCTTTATTCAGTACTTTACATGACAGGAAACCTAAAGATAGCACATCTGTGTTTTTAAGAGTATGTACCTTTCTCAACAATATTAGTTTTGTGTCAGTCCCATTATTATAAATGGACAAATCAACCGTTTGGTAACATATTTAAAAAAAATTAAACCTCAAAATATTTGTTTTATTTCCTAATTTTACTAGGTAATGTTTCGTAAACCCTTTGACATTGAAGAATGTTGAAAAATTATGCCTACTTTTGAATTTCTGGGCAAAACAATGTGTAGCATGCTAAACTCATAGCCAACTTCCAATGAGCAATGGCCTTAAAGAGGTCAACCTTTTTAAGACATAGATTTTTTTTAATTACAAATGTAATCTAATTGGTAGGAAAGGCTCAATAAGGTAGGTCAATTTCAATGAAAGCCTCGGTTAGATATTGGGCCTCAAAATGTCCTCTACCATTTGGTCGATCAGAACGCTAAAGGGGTTTAAACAGCAATGGCAACATAATATCAAAATGACGTCATTAACTTTTTCCATGCATTTTCCAACAGTGAAGAAACATGTAAGTGGGTTGGTTTATTATGATTAATGCAAGTACAACATATAATCACCATGGTGATGTGATGTGATATTCTCTGTCTCTGTGGTTATCAAAGTGCTCCATTGTCACAGCCAATCTCGTTATGACGGAGTAGAACAGAAATTAAAATTTCTCTCCCACTCCTCTCCCAAGCTGTCTCGCTCAACCAGTATCCCCCCTCCATCCAACTCATACAATGGCTGCCTCTCATCCCAGGCAGGCAACTACCCCCAAAACAACCAGCTCCCGCAGAGGCTTGGAAAGAATGAGTTCTTCTTTTCCTTCTTCTCTAGTGAGCTCAGCTGAGATAAACAAGAGTCTGACTATCAGTCACACACAAGTGTGTGGTGAAGACACTCAAACCAGGAACCTTTAACACAGCAAAGAATGAAGGTGAAGACATTACAGGTCAGCCAGAAGAAAAAAAGTTAAATGTTATAATACATTTAGTACCTGGAGGACTGCCTTTGTTATGTCACCTTTAACAAAACCATCCATGCATCCATCTTCATACTAGTAACAGTTCCAGAAGGGAAACCCAATTTGCACCATCTTCTTATTTTTAAAGTTTCACTCATGATGCACATCTCAAG